ATTATTTTTCATAAAAAAGAATATATTTTTTGTGAAAAAAAAAATTAAAAGACAATATTTTGCGTCATAGAATTCGGTGTGGGCTTGGAATGAAGCAGATTCGATTGTCTTGTTTTTGTTATGTGTTGGGGTTTTAAGGCCTTCGGGCTCGTATCTGTTAGAAAACAGTCCAAAACTCCTTAGCGCCGGCGCAGCCGTGACGTGAGGGCCGAGCATATTCTTTTGTACTGGTCTATACTGGTCTAAAGTCTAATCTAATGTGGCCCCTACGGAGGCCCACAACAATTCTTTTTTTTTTTTGGTTAAAAAAGGCCCACAACAATTTCCCGCCACCATATCGCATCTAGCGCCCTAATCCCTTTCTCTTCCCGCCATTTTCCCTTTTCCTCTCAATCGCGATCTGCAGAGGAAGTTAACTCGTCGGCGGCAACAAGGAAAAGAGCGCAGAAAAGAGGGGGAAAAGTTTTCTTCTGGTAAGCATCGTAACCATTTAATTTTCTGCAGATTTTCCTTCTTATTGGTTCCCAATTTGTTTCTGTTAATCCTCATGTTTAGATCTAGTGTACATCTTTTCAGTTCTTGATCTTGAATCCAGCAATCCTTTCGATTTCGCTAATTCTAGATCAAATCGACCAGTTACGCATCTTTGATTTGCATTTTTCTTGTGGTTCTGCTAACAGATACTGTGTAAACATGACGAGAGACGAAGTCGAGAACGGAGGAGATCGCATGGAGATTGATGAACGGGAAGAAAATCAAGAGAACGGCATGGAAATTGACGGATTTAATCCAAAGTATCTCAAAGTCTATTACAGTATGCGATTCTCATTTCGTATTCTTGTGCTTGGTTTCAATTTGTTTGATTGCGTTTATATATGCACATCCTGCTGCCTTCATGATTTTTTCAGCGACTATTTCCTCTAAGATGTTTGCCTAAAGAGAAGTATCGATTTTTTTGCAGGAAAGCTATTTCCTTATGGCGATATGTTTAAGTGGATGTCTTATGGAAATGGTAATACTTGTATTGCATTATCTTTCTCTTATGTATGCTTTGGTGTGCGGTTAGGCTAGTTGTTATCTTTTTCTGACCTAACCTGCACATTGATTTCTTCATCTGCAGATGGGAAGCATCCCGGTTGTGATATGTCCTACTTTGGCCGAAGGGAATTCTCTTTCACAATAGAAAATGACATTTATCTACGATACCAGTCTTTCGATGGTCTGTCTGAACTGGAAAATTCCATTAAAGAAAAATGTCCACTCAAAATTGATATCGGGGCTGTATACAGTGTTGATGTATAATTTCATACTACCAGCTTTTTTACATTATGACTTGTTGACATGGACATGGCTGTATGTGTATTGTATTGTTTGGTTCTTACTGCTTTAAAACTGTTTTGTTATAGCCTGCAAAGAGAAATGCCTATGCACAAAGCGATGGAAATGTTTTCACTGCTGTGGAGCGGGAGCTGGTTTTTGATATTGTAAGCTACTGAATTTCCAGACCACCTAAACAATCATCTGCTTGACATCCGTTGATAGAACTGCTTGGGTAAGTGACATGTTGGATTTGCATTTTACTTTTCCCAGGATATATCAGATTATGATGATGTTAGATACTGCTGCAAAGGAGCTGATGTTTGCTTAGATTGCTGGCCTCTAATGACAATTGCTATTAAAGTGATTGATACTGCCCTCAGAGGTACTGCTCTCTGGACTAGTTTATTCATTTCTCTTTCAAAAAATTACTTTGGTACTAGGTCTCATGTCATGAGAATCATGTTTTTGTTTGAGGACCTCTACAGAACATCACTATAATTACAAGCAGTAGCAGTTGAACAAAGCATTAGAATTCTTATTCAGAGCTCTATAAGCCTTCTTTCTCTTCAGGCCTTCTGTATGGGACATTCTTTTTTCTTGCTATCTATTTTACACCATATCTGGTAGTGATCCTTGCTGCATTGATGTTGCTTATCATAGTTTACTGACATCTGATATTGCTCCAAAGATTCCTACAACAGATCCTTTACGACTGCATTTTGAACATTGTGTCTTAACTGGACTCTGTCGTGGGATTTACTTGTTCACATATAGTAACATGTTTAAATTATCAAAAATATATAGATTCTCAATTTAGCTTGTTGCAAGTTATTGTCTGGGTTTAGCATCGTTAGTTGATTTCTAAGTTTTATAATGCAGATGACTTTGGTTTCAATCACATTCTCTGGGTATATAGTGGCCGTCGTGGTGTGCACTGTTGGGTTTGCGATAGAAAAGCAAGAAGGTAATTTTGCAATTGTTACATAGGTTTTATATTTCACAACTGAATCATAACGTTGATTCCCGGAATGTTTTGAGGTCACTTCTGCAGGTTGACTGATGAACAGAGGGGGGCTATTGCTGATTATTTTCGAGTTTATAAGGTGCAAACTAGTTATCTGAAAAACAAATGGCTGTGCATAATTTTTTATAGCAAAAAATAATTAACCCTGTACTCTACCAGGGGAATGAGAACAGTAACAAAAAAGTGTCTTTACCAGGACAAGCTCTTCATCCTTTCCTTGTGTAAGTACTGATGTACATTTGATTTTGTTCTGATCTGTCCGTTCCTCTACTAAACATATTGTTACTTTACAGGAGGTCCTATACTGAAGTTTTGAAGGATTTCTTTGAGGCAAAACTGCTTTCAAGTCAAAGCCTACTTTCTACTGAGGAGAAATATGAGAAGATCCTAGAAATGATTCCTGATTCAAGTACAATTTTTAGATTCTCCTCTATGCAAGGGAGCCCTGCGTAATTTCCTTCACATTTTCTCATGTTCCCCCCCTCGCCCCCTTTGTGCAGATATTGCTTCTGAGCTACAGGGAAAGTGGCAGGAGAACAAACGATCTTCCATGCCTAAAGAAGACGTTGATATTGTTCGATGGGAACAACTTAAACGTATACTGCAATCAGGGAAACATAAGGTATGAAGTGACATGCACAAACACTTTAATGGGACTACCTACCGTCGGAAATATCTGGCCCGAGTAATGGGGCATGGCATTGAATTCCGCTAGCGGTCCATAGGGACTGGACACTAAATTTTCTGCTCGTGTCAGTTCTATTTATGTTCAGAAAAAAACATTAAAATTAAATGAATGCACTGAATGAAAGATTGGAAGTCTGGTCAAATTCTTTTCATCAAAATGGAAGGATTATGCTGTCTACCAATGTGGTTTTAACTTTTGTACTTTTACTTCACTGGTATTCTTGATTCACTTTTCCAGGGACAAGGACTGAGGAGATGTGTTGAAGAGATCATATTTTCTTTTACTTACCCTAGGCTTGATATGGAGGTTTGTGCAACACCATCCATTACTTCCAATAATTTCTATTTTTCTTCTTTCTCTTCCTCTTCTAAAAATACTGATGCTTCCTGATGTAATTTGTCTTAGTCATAGACCAATGTTTTGTAAATACTATTTTGAATTTAGAAACTTTTTATGTTTCAACCATCTGTTCAGAACAATTCATATTCCATCTATGTGCTCGTGTATCAGGTTTCGAGAAAAATGGGCCACTTGCTGAAGGCACCATTCTGTGTACATCCACAGACAGGTTAGTTCCAATGACCTGTTTGGATCTCAACTGTGCTATGAAAGTGAAATTTTGCTGGAAGTTGCAGTTTCTAGTGCTCAAAATTGTACGTGGTTGATTTATGAGGGTCAATAATTTCAATCTTAGAGAAATAATGTTGATTTCTTCAAAAATTACTTTTAGAACTGATGATTATTATAGGAAACTTAAATAATGTCTTTTCCAACCATTTCTTAACTGAAAATGTTGTTTTGATCTCTTCAATATCTCTCAAGTGCTTCCCATCTGTTTCGTTTTTGTGTTTTATAGGTCGTGTTTGTGTGCCTATTGACCCAAACCACTGTGATGAATTTGATCCAACTACAGTACCAACCCTTTCACAGGTGAGCGTGGAGTAGACTTGCAATTTTTTGCACTCATGTGTAAACCTACTTGCTGGGAGGAACATCAGTTCTGATTAATTATTTTGCGGGACTCATTGAAAATTTGTTGTGTTTTGACATTGTATTATATGAATTCCCAATTAGCATAAGATGAATTTCCACTTTAGATAAAGCATTTTTTATATCCCTTTGCAATTTTATTGAAACTGCAGCTTTTAAAAGAACTAAACATGGGAGGCCTGAGAGAAGATGCTGAAAATGGTGTGTTCTCTTGATCTAGACTGCTCTTTGAAAATGATTTGTGTGTATTGCTGACTTTTGTATCCTCTGTGATGGCAGAGTTGGATAGAACCTCACTTGGAGATTCAGTCAAGTTTTTCAGATCATCGTTCTTGCAGCCTCTGCTGAAATCTTGTAAGGTATTACCTGATTCTAAATGGTGCCCGCTTAGCATATTGAACTACTAGGCATGCCAGTGTTTATCAAATTTTAACTTTAAGGCAGCTCTTCTAGACATTAAACGGGGCAGCTGCTGTGCCCAAAGTTGAATTATTACCATGCCATTGTACTGCCTATTCAAGAAGCTTGATTACATGTCTTTTCCAAACTGCTGTGGGAAGTATAATAGATATGATATACTTAAAAACTAATCATAAATCTTGCAGGAGGATATTGAAAGTTCATACAGTGCAAAGCTGCAGCAGTCCAAGAATTCCCTCAGTTGGTAGTGTTTTCCAAGTTGCTTTATCACAAGGTATCTGATCCTCATGATATCTTGCTGTTGCCAACCATCTCTTGTTATGCAGTATGGTGAATGTCATTGAGTAGGAACATTTCTGTTGTCCCTCAACATGAAAACTTTGACTCTAAAGTTAATCTAACCGTGGTATTCGATTTTATCATTTTCATTTTAAATTCCTTGTCGTGAACATGCTCATCTTACAATTGTTATCCTGAAGAAATCCGTAGTCATTTTCCTTTCCTTTCCTGAATAGCTGTTTTTCTTCTTTAGAACAGCAACCATTGTGTTGTCATAATCAATACACCGACTGGGGCCTAATCTGAAAAGGTATTCCGCAAATTTTTCTGTCTTTTTACATGTTTACGGTAGACTTTTTGGGAGACCCAGCCAACCTTGTGCTGCCACGGCTTCCTCATCATTAAACAGGCATGGGAGGGTTATCCGTAAAACGTGGCTTCCTTCCCTTGCATTCAATCACTCCTGTTCTTTTTCCCTTTTTCTTTTTCTTTTTTTTTTTTTTAAATAAAAAAATAAAAAACTCTTTCTCTTTAAAGCTACTATTGACAGGAAAATTTTTCATATCAAATCTTTTTTAAATATATAAATATATAAATTATATTATAATTAATTTTAATTAATAAAATTTTTTTTTAAAATCTACCACTAGAGTCAGGATATGGTACCACTAACAAACAATGCTTTAAGAATTTTGTTTCTTTCTTGTCATCTGGTTCACGTATCTGTCGCTCAATTAGATTTAATATCTTTAAATTAGATTTAATATCAAATAAGTTTTAAGTTTTTTATATGGGATTTAGAAAAATTAAACATGTGATAAATGAATTATAAATAATAATAATAATAAATCTAAATATCTGAACAATTTTTAGTGATGGTTTTTCCATTTTGATTGCCACTTTTCACTTTTCTTGCATTATGCCTTAATATATGAATTGTACTGTATTTAATAGAATGTTTAGTTTGAGAGATATGAAAAAGTGCGGAAGGAAAAAGGAATTTTTTAATTAATTATATTATAATATTTAAAAATATTATAAATAATAATTAATTAAAAATTCTTTTATTTTTTCTGTTTTATTTTTCTTACTCTACACATATTATGAATATTAAACCCTACATCAAGAGTTTAATGCCTTACAAAACAAAGCTCCAATGTAGCTGCAATACAATAACCCTACTCATATAAGCAGAGCCTAAAATGGATTTGAAAAAAACCAGTAAAAATAATCTTAAGTAGACAACAATATGAAGAAACAGCATATTATTAAGAACCTCCACTCTTACGACAGGCACTGCAATTTACACTTATCATTACAGACAAAAAGCGAAATAAAACATATCATTACAGACAAAGCGAAATAAAACATATTTTCTTTCTTCAAGGGAATATCTTCCTCCTAATTAGCAAGTACCTCCTCCCATATCAATTCGGCGTCGTATGATGGCATTCTCGCCAACGAACACCACTCCAGTTCAGGCTCCTCTGCTCCGACCATCCCAAAATCATTCGAAACAGAGACCGGTGAGTTCTCATTTCTCCAAACACCATCTTCGGACACAGTCGGCGACAACAATTCGTTACTCGGGTTGTTGTCGCCCAAGACCACCGCAGACAGAGATGAAGAGGACGAAGAAGGAGAAGTATCTATCACCTTGACTTCCTTTTCTGTTTCACGACTGGAAGGAGGATTCTTGGAATTACTCTTTGCGTTCTTTTTTGCTCTCTCCTTTTTCACCTTTTGACAGATAGCCTGAATCTTTGCATCCACCGCATTCCTCAAAGTGTTCATTCTTTCGCAATCTCCAAACCCCAATTCATTAGGGTCCTTTAAGTTTGGGAAGTTCAACCTCGCGTATTCTCCCCTGAGCTTATACGCGGCACGATCGTAGGCATAGGCTGCTGCCTCTGCTGTGTCGTATGTGCCTAGCCACACTCGCATTCTGTTCTGGGGCAGCCGAATTTCGGCTACCCATTTTCCCCAATGCCTCTGCCTCACTCCCCTGTATAGCTTCTTCCTCATCGGGTTGACGTACGTGGTCCTTGATGCAGAGATCTGGAGGAAGCTCGTCTGCAAATCTTGCGTTGATGAACTGTAATTGGCTCTGTTTTCTTGCCAGAACTTTTGAAGTAGATCTTTCTGGCGGAGATAGACTGAAGAGCCTAGTGGCTCATGAACAGGACTGGTTACAGTTGTCATCGATGAAGGACAATAAGAGAATATTGAGTCCATGGTGCTTGTGCCCCCGGCTAATATCAGCTGCGACAGCGCTGCCCCAATTTCACCACCGTCATTGAATCCAGAAACAAGATTATTTCCTTGCACTTTCTCCATGATTCTTGGAGTGCAAATATATAACAGACGTACAAAGCAAAATTAATATCAGAGAAACAGGGCACTAAAAAAAAACTGTCCCGTTACCTGGTAGAACAAGAAAGAAAACGAAATTGTAGTAATAGAAAGTGGAAGATTTTGAAAAAAAAAAAAGTTGGTGACAGATAGAGATTTTCAGGAAAGAATGAGATTTTTTATTGGACTTGATTTTGAAGAAGTTTGAAGTTTGAATAATCGTATTGGGTCTGCTTCTTGCTTTCATGTATTTATACCGACGAATTGAGAAAAATGAATTTCTTGGGGGGGCTTTGAATTCCACGCAATGACTGAACTGCCCTTCTCTTAGGTCGCACCGTCAAAGAAGATAAGGGGTATCTTCGTGAAATTGCACTGGTTTCCTTCCTGATTGCCAGTCCTCAGCGTCAGTACCTAATTTTTGTGTTTCTGATTGACCCTTGGCGTGGTCCACGTTTGGGCCGGACAGGACACCATTTCTGCTTTTTAAAAAGCTACTTTTTCAATTTATTACTTACACCAGAGTCAGCTTCTGCTGCTTTGCAAAGTCCACAGTGTCATTAATTTCTCCATGCCACACTGCCACGAGCCTTCAACTTGAAGATTTGCTTTTCCTTTTGTTTCCAAAATTTCCATTTTTTTCTTTCTAACTTTCCAATTTCTATATGTGGGAAAAAAAAAAAAGGAACAAAAAAAGGGGAGATAATATATGCCATGTCCTGTCTATGAAGCATTTCACTAACACATAATTAAAGCTATATAAAGCAATCGTTGTTTTTCAAATCATATGAAGTGTTAAATTTTAGAGTTAACATTTAAATAAATTAATTTGTTTAATATATTAAGTCGATTCATGAGATATGTATTTAAAATTATGTTTTAAAAAATCAATCTTTAGGTTTATTTGACAAAAAAAACTCATTAACTGTAGAATCAACATTACATGTTAGACGTTAAGTTCAAATTTTTCATTCATAAATTTATACATGTTAAAAAAGGGTAAACAAACCACCTTCATAATTAATAAATAATAAATAATAATAACAATAATAAGATAAGGGGAAAAGGCTAGCTAGCTAGGGTTTACCAACAATTCAGAGACAATCATTAGATTTAGAAGGCAAAAGTCAATGACTATAATTTCCCACTCTTTGTGCCTTCCAATACATTCACTTCTATCTCAATTTAACCGCATGCCTCATCTCGTCTTGTGCATAAAACTCAAATCATCCATCACTGCACGCATTTGCACATATTTGTTCAAGCAAGCTTTTTCACTTACCAGCCCTATAAATTAGGATTTTACCCCATTTCTCAATCATAATGCATCTTATCGGTTCGATATATATCAATCGCGTTTAGTATATGATTCACGTAAACAATGTATATATACTCAACACGTATCAATTTTACATTTGGATTTATTAATTAATATTGAATATGACGAAAATAAAAATTAAAGGTTAAATGTCGATTTTAGTCCCTCAACTTTAAGGTTTTATATAACTTTCATCCCTTAACTTTTTAATGTGCTTTTTTTTGTTAGTTACTTTGTTAAGTTTGTCTAAATACATATATTTTTAATCTCTCAACTTTAAGTTAAGTGACAAAAAATGTGTTTAAGTTGAGGGATAAAAAATATATATATATTAGAAGGTGAATGACTAAAAATGTTTAGATTTAGATAGATTTAACAAATTAATTAATGAAAAAAAATTTTAAAAAAATATTTTTCATAATTAAAAGATAAAAATATGCATAAAAAGATAAGATATAAAAATTGTGTAAAACCTTAAAATTAAGGGATCAAAATTAAAATGAAATCTGATTAACTTATGAATAATATGGAGTCTTGTTCAAACTTGAAACTCCTACAGTCCATAATTATATAAGCACGCTCTTCTTAATTAACCAAACATAAAGAGATTTTTAACAAATGAATTTTGAATGAACCACAGTAATCAACCATATTGAATGAATAAAGTTGGACCTTTTCTTCTTGTGTGTAGAGGAAGAGGGTGAGGTAGGAACCGTAATCAAATGTGGGATCCATTCCCAGTATGGTGCGTTAAAGACGTAAAGGTGAGGGTTGAAAAGGGGATAGAAATGGGGTGTCTCAAAGACACAGCTCGTGAAAGCCACCCAACTTTGTATGGCCACAGAACTTTTTCTGCGTATGTGCATGTGAATTAACCTAACTATCTGCCTCGCAAGTCAATCCCTCTATTGTACCTCCCATAATCTCCATCTCTTTTTGGCACTTCTCTGTCTTCATCCTGCTTGGTTTTTCACTTTCATCTCCCTTCAATATTCCAATTTTGCCCTTAAATTTCAGTAAAAAAAAAAAAACTAAATTAAATTTCAATTCATTTTCTAATATCCCATCATTGATTTTAATTTCTTGATTAATTTTACTATCAAACTGCATTAATTTTGGGTCATATATATATCTTGAACCTCTAGAGTGCATGATGGATTTGAAAACTGATGAGTAAAAATTATTCACATGAAAATCTTAATATATAATCATCTTAAATTAAAATTAGTGAACTAATAAAAAGTTTATTATTTTACAGTACAGATTATAAAATAAAATTTTTTAAATGAAAAGGGACTCTCCAATATTAAAAGATTTATAGGATATTAATTTTCATTTAAGAGTTTATATTTTAAATTTTATAATTTGATATAATTTAAATTGTAAAATAATTATTTAATTAATTTAAATTAAAAAAATAATTATTTATAATTATTAAGAGAGTGAGAAAAAAAAATAATAGTTGAAACTCAAATACCTTAATAGTATTCTCACTTAAAGAACAAAATGAAACTACTCCATCTACCACGTGCTGAATCGATAATTTAAGTTTTAAAACAAGGGATTCTCAAAAAGAGAAGGACATTTATTTAATTTCGACTTCTTATGGGATATTAAGGGTAAGTTAAATCTTTAATTTGGTCCTGAACTATTATACAGACCCTTAATTTGATTCTTGAACTAAAAAAATCTTTAATTTGGTCTCTAAACTATTATACGGATCTCCAATTTGATCTTACTGTTTACCAATTTACTCTCAGTTGGTCCTTCTATACAAAAACAGTTAATATATTTTGTTATTAAAATGACATGTAATCATTAATTTACTGTTTTTTACCGTTAAATTACTGTTTTTCGTTGTTAAATACTAGATACATTAGTTTTTTTTTGTACAAAAGGATTAATTTGAGGCAAATTGGTAAATAGTAAAGATTAAATCGGGAGTTCGTACAATAGTTCATGGATCAAATCAAAGATTTTTTTAATTTAAAGATCAAATCAAGAATCTATACAATAATTTAAGGATCAAATTGAAAATTTAACCTAAAAGATAAGGATGTAGTAATATATATTGGAAAGTCAAAGGGCATTTATAAAATTGAAATTCAAAAAAGTTGAGTATTGTCAGTATATATATGGACTCGGTCGCACCAACGGTACTGGCCGGGTGACGCCGACCGACTCAGTGGTCCACCGCCTCCTGCGGCCGACACGTCACAGCCACTTGACCGACATCAATCACACGCGTCGCTTCGACGCTCTCTCATTGGTTTACCACATCAACGCAAGATATAGAAAATTCCAAATTCTCGTGAGTTTAATTATTTCGTTTCCCAATTTTCCGGTGAACGTTACTTATGGTTAATACGACGTCGATTTCGTAATGTGAGCAGAAATCCGTACCCACACCACGTCATTTTGCCAATAATTGATGTCACCCTGACAACATTTTCGAGTTATTAATCTTTTATTTTTTTATTTTTTTGCTTAAACAGACTAACATAGAAGAGATTTTTTTTTTTAAATTGATTGTATAATAAAAAGTAATTTTTTATTTTTTATCATATTTATTTGTATGTCATGCGATTTAAATTCAAAATTTTTTATTTTTAACGAAAAAATTATCATTAAATTATTTAACTCATTGACAATATAAAAAAAACTTATGTTTTAGTAATAGGATTGAAAGAATAAAATGGTATATGAATAAATTTAATAAATTTTTTCATCAAAAAAATAATTTATTAGTGAGGTATAAGAGGTAAATCGAATTTATTACATAAAAAAATATGATTAAATTTAATAAATTAGTTAATAAAAATATTAAAATAATGTATCTTTTATAATTTAAGGATAAATAAAATATAAGAAATATTTTAAGGACTAAAAAGTTTAAAATTAAAAATAAAATTTAACCTAAGCTTTTTTCTCTTAAAAAAATAATAAAAAATTATAACAATATATTTGATTTGAATGAAACGAAAAAGGGAAAGAATGCAAGCCATCTACTACCCAGATTTATTCATAAAATTACCAAAATTAGCTATAAAAAAAACAGGATTAAAATTCTAAAACCCTAGAAAAACCCTAAAGTTTGTCCCCAGAGCCTAAGTTCTAAAAATTAAATTTATTACAGAAAATTCCGTTTAAACTATCCTCTAAAACAACAAATTTTCAACTAATGATGCTCCTTAATTGTTAGACCGAATAAGGCCGAAACTTAAAGATCTCAAACTGAGATAAAAGCTCAAGCAGCGCCCTACAAATGGCTTTGCGTTTTCCGTGCACCGTACTGCCAAAATCGAAGAAAAATAAAATTGTATAAAATAAGATGTCAATATCTAGCTTCCGGCTACTTTGGTCCCCTTATCATAATCTTTATGGTAACATTTTTGAGGCATGGCTGTGAATTTGGTCCTACCATCGTGGCATCTTGTATCTACTTGACAGATTGATGCCGCACGCAACACTACATCAATAAGATAAATTCCCCACAATCACAAATTCTTTCAAGTTTATACAACATTTGTTCTCCAACATACTAGTCAAATAAGATTCTAAAAATTAAAAAAGAAAAAGATATAATTTCCTCACACTCACAAATTCTTTTAGAGTCTATTTAATTAGTTCGTCACTTTTCTAATTCTTTTATACTATAATTAATTATATTAAATTTTAATTTTTTATCAAGAAAATTACTTTCCCTAAACTAAGTTAATTTCTTTGAATTCTTTATTCAATAAAGTTGCCAATCAAACAAACCCTTAAGTTAAGTTTGTTTCGGATGGTTTGTTTCTAATTTTAATCATGATGTGTTGTATAAAAAAAGCAAAAATTAATTTTAATATATGTACTTAGAACATAAATTAAATCAATAATTAATTTAATTTTTTGTCATTAAATTACATAAAAAAATAAATTTAAATATTAATTTTAATAATTAATCAATTAAATTAAGACATATAATATTGATGTTAAAATTAATATTAATTTTTTTATATAAATTAATGATTAAAAAATATAATAATTACACTCTCAACTTAATATAATACAAATTAAAAAAAAATTAATTATTTAATTAAAATTACGCTCATATTATTAATATTGAAAATGAAATTAGCATAATAAAGAATGGTTGAAGAAATTAACTATGCATTAAAACGACAAAGGTATTGGGACACAGCAGATCAGGAGGGTCAGTCAAACTAAGCCGTAGACACGAACAGGAAACTAAACAGGGTATGACCCGTGTCTCTCCCGTTCAACTCAGTGAGCTGTCTGTTGGGGTCTTCGAGGAAGATTTGAAACTTTCTCACTGGGCCTGGTCGGTTTGACAATTTCTTCCACTTGCATCTTGTGTAAGTTGTGTTGGACTAAAAGTGACAACTCAACTGTACCTTTTTTGAAGACTTTGGTACCCAATTATTAATCCTCTCCAACTAAATATGGTAAATATATACAACCCCATTATCGACTTTAAATGTACTGTTCATGATTGATTGGATAGTTATAATTACTAGTAATAAAAATATTAGGTTGAGAAGTCTCTTGGTGCAAGTGGTTGTTTATATTTTGTAAAGAACTATCCCATTTTAATAAAGGTGTGTAATTTAAATTTTATCCTTGTATTAAAAAATAAAAATAATTAAGTTTATTAAAATTATAAAATGTTATTGTTAAAAATAGTGATTTTATTTAATTTAATTGATAAAAATTAGTAATAATTATATTTATTAATTAAAATTAATTAATAAATTAATATTTTTAAATATAATTTGAAAACAAATTTTAATTTTTAATTATCTTAATTTTTTTTTTTATAATGACAATAACCATGCCATGAATGATTTGATAATGAAATGAAAATTCGGCTCAATTATAAATGGTTTAGACTTTATTGGTACGAAGACAAGCCCTGCATTGAGGGTAAGTTGACTTCCACCTCTCGTCTGGCCAATGCGGGTTGTGTCAAACCCAAGTGGGGAGGGTTTTGTCCTGGAAGACAATGATTGAGATTTACAAAATTAATAAGTTTTTGGAGACCTACTACGTCTTTGTTCAAATAATTTGGCTATGCCTATGAATTTTTTTCTTTTTTTCCCATTCGATGGGAATTGATGATGCCGTCCTCTTTCGTGGTCCCTCAAGGATTCAACTTGTGTGATGTTTATATTGGGCCTACTAGCTTATTCAACTAGAAGTTGGGTTGCCTTGTTGGGTTGCACCTGAACCAGGTTGTAAAAAAATGTATGCTATCAATATTGATTTTGCAAAAACATCAGGCTGGTTATTGGGTTCCTTTTCTTAATTGGATGGGCTCAGGCCGTTTTGTTACAGAAAGCAAATTGCCGATTAGGAGAAGCAACCAACCTTACACATCTTCTAATTTTTTTTCTTTTTTAATTTGTACTAAATGTTCTCATATTTGAAAATTATATTGAATTTCAACTAAATCGAAGTAGATTAAATCTTATAAGGGAAAATCTTTTTAAATATCTATATTTTTATTTACAAAATTTAAAATTTAAATTTTATTTTAAAAAAATCAAACTTTTTTTTTTTTTGCTCAAAACAAGCTTACCTAACTTTTTTAGCACGGGATGAAACCATGTTCCAAAGTTGGAATCTTTTATTGTGTCATGAGTATGTTGATTTTCTTTTCTAAGAAAAAAAAATAATGTACTAAGAATCCAAAGTTGATTTTCTCCATTTGTTTCAACTTGAAGATATTTTATTTGCCGCCCATGGCCAATTGGCTAAAAGCCTTCTTGTGGGTGCATCCCCTAAGCCTAGTGGTGCTGGATTCAAACCCCCTTCACTACCAAAAGATGTAATTGTTCAAAAAGGGAAAGATATTTTATCTGTCTTGTTTGAAATGCACTAGTGAGGAACAATTTCCCTTTGACTGGCTGATTCTCGTGTTTGGTCGCCAGGAAAGTTGTCAAGAATCTTCTTCCGTAAAGACTAAGCGATAGACGAATTAACGTTCTCCCCGTATCACTTTTTTGTTTTAGAGCATGTTTGATGAAATTTGTAAAATTTTTTATTTTTTTTGTTATTTATAAATGATAAATTTAAATTTTTATTAAAAAAATTTTAAAGTTATAAAATATAACTAATATAAAAAAATTAAAACCCTTATCAGCTTCATCAATCGTATCCTTACACAACTCATCAGGAGAGGCTTTAAAGAAAAAAAAGAGAGGTAAGAAAGGAAGGCTTGGAAACGCTGTCGTTTCACCGCCCTAAGTCAAACCTCTCCGCCTGTACCGTATTCTTCCCCTGTTTCTCACGTATTCCAACTCCTCCAAATTTGTTTGCTGTAGTTACTGCTCTCAGTTTGGTGAGAATATGCTGAATTTCTGATTTGATGAGCAGAAGAGGTTGCATTCAACATATGCAGTGGAGATCTGTTCTATTTTTCGAGGTATGAAATTGGGGTATCTTTCCATATTCTGCTTTCTCTATTTTAACTCGATTTAAGTTTCAAGATTTGATTCACAGTTCTATTGATACATGGGGTTTTCTCATAGCGTAAAGAAGTGGGTTGATCTTTAAAAATGGGAAACAATTACCTTCTTTTGATTGGGCTTTCTCTGCTACTAGTTGCTATTGATTGCGCTACTCATGATTCCAAGGTAAAAATGTTCATAATCAAACCAAGATTTGTTCTTTTTTAATGTTTCCTTAGTTAAATGACAGTGCAAGTACTGGTTTGTAACAGATTGTGAGTGACACACCCAACTCAATTAAGAATAATGGTGGTTCCAACCTTGATTCAAATACGGTGGAAGATAAGACAGTGAATGGGAACGGGGGAGATCAAGAAAATATATCACAGGATGGTATTCGGGGTAGCTCAAGTAAGACCGACTCAACTGAGCAATTGGGTTCCAAAGAAGGCGGTGGCATGCAAAATGGTAATGAAAAATCAAGTTCTGAAACGAAAGGAAAGAATGGTGATTTTATGAAGGAGAAACCGAGTGATGTTGTGGATACAAAGGGATTGCTTAATGAGGGGGACCATACAGGAGAAGCATTGGCGAGGAAGGATGGCTTTCGAGGGGAAGAGTGTGATCCATCTACCATGTGCACTGATAAAGATAACAACTTTGTAGCATGCTTCCAGGTTCCAGGAAATGGTAACCTATCTTTGGTCTCTTATCTGCTTTCGTTTTAGACCTATTTTTGTTTCTATTAAGGAATCTATCCCATAACAAATTGGTGATGGGAAGACTTGAATGTAAGCTTGCACTAACTTCCAAACTGTAGCAATGCAAGATAGACTCCTACTTTACACCTAGCTTTTGTGATCAAGACATCATATTATGATGACTTATTGGGTAGTTTATTTTGGCCAATGACTTATTGGGTAGCTGACGTTGATTTGTAAAACACAATTGTTAAAATTTAACTCACTAAATAGTTATTTATACCAAGATTGCTAGTTTGTGACAATCGTAAAGAATGTAAATAGTTTCAGCTGGCCTTCAGAGTGGAGAAAGCTCCGTCCCCCTCCTCTATTTATGTTGCTCTTTGACTGATGGCTCTAATCTCAACTCTTGTTTGTAATCCAGAATCTCCAGATATATTTCTTTTGATTAAGAACAAGGGGAAAGGCCCTCGCACAATCTCAATAACTGCTCCTGCTTTTGTTCAGTTAGAGAAAACACAACTTCAAGTCCCAGAGAAAGAAGACCGAAAGGTAACAACATTAAAAATTTGTAGATCATCATATGATTTATAATTTGCTTGTTTTATCTTCTATTTATCCTAATAGTTCAGTGGCTGTCATAATGCCCATATGGGGTGATTTCTTTCTTATTTGTCTTGCTATTTATTAATTAGTAGTGAACCTTTAAGTCACTCAGAGAATGTGACATCGGAGAGGTAGCTCAAACAAGACTTTCAACATTTCTATGCTAGTTATGGAAAATTATAACTGACAATTACATGCAAAACATTATCAAGTTTTAACTGTGTCTGATTCTTATTTACTGTAAATCGAACATTCATATTTGACTAAGATTCAGGGAGAGAGAGTGTCCAGCCGACATTAATGGGTATGTGGCTATTACATGTAATCTGAATGTGAAATGTTCAGTTCCTTCCTCCTTTCACTCCTTTTGAAACCCTCAAACCATAGTATTTCATAAATGTTATTTGTCTAATTAGGCGTGGGTGGTAAAATCTGGCTTATCTAAATGCCAACAGCAACTGGCTTGTTAATCTTTCTCCTGAATAATCCCAATGATTTGTTCGTAAATGATAAATTTTATCTATATGCAGTTTGTATGACCTTTTACTTGAGATTTGATTGTACAGGTGAAGGTTTCTACCAGAGATGGAAAAACCAGCGACCTGATTGTCTTGAAGGAGGGGACAAGCAGTTGCGACCTTGATTTTAAGTATTTGATCATGCACAATTCAGGAAAAGATTCAGATAAATCTGCCAAGTCATACATAAACTTGGTATCAAGAAGCCCTTCTGCTGCCATAGTATTCTTTGCTGCACTGCTAATGCTGGCATCAGGTTGGATGTGCTTCAGCTTCCGGAAGAGGATTCTTCTAGACAGTCACTCAAAATACCAAAGACTGGATATAGAGTTGCCAGTGTCTGCTGTTGCTGCAAAAACAGAGCCTGATGTTAATGATGGATGGGATAACAACTGGGGTGATAATTGGGATGATGAGGAGGCACCCCATACTCCCTCAATGCCAGTCACTCCTAGACTCTCCTCCAAAGGCCTTGCCTCACGACGCCTGAACAAGGAAGGTTGGAAAGATTAGTTGCCGCCTCAATTGTCTAAACGAACAAAACTTGATCATAGAATATACATTTAGTCTCTTTTTATTGCATTCCAGGGTCTTATAGAGAGCTTGTGCTCTGGTCCCCCTACTCCCCCCCCCCCCCCAAAAAAAAAAATTTTGTCCCAAAGTTTTGAAATGAATTGGGGCCTTCATGATTTAACTAGACTGCTTACTGGTAATCCTTTTGAGCAGGCCGAAATCTTACATGCCCGTTTGGGCCGAACCCACATGCAATTGTTTTAAAATGGTCCATGGATTGTGATGGATTTCAATTGTAGCTTTCAATGGCCACATATAGTTAATCATTTCCACTGAAATGGGCCTGAATCTAAACTCCACAAGACAATTCGAGGGTTTGTTTAATATGGATGGTAGAAAATCAAAATATCATGGTAATTAAATATTAAAAATAATAATTAAAAATTTTAAATATTTTTAATGAATCAACTTTAAATATTCTAATATTTTAAATACTTTCAAAAGATTTTTATTTTTATTTTTCTTTATTAACATTTATCCAAAAGTTGTAAAACATTTTCTTATCCAGAACAAGCATGTATGCTTAAACAATCAATTCAGAAAATTTTAAACACAGCATGCATGGCTTCTTGGAAATGGTCTTTCATGTCATGTCCCATATATGGTACGAGCACGAGGGATTATAAATATATCCAAAAATTTTTTTTTTTTTATAAGTATCCAAAAAAATTATTAAAATTAAAATACTTGTAATCTACACATCCCTTCGTGTCACCATATAATTAAGAAATAGTATATGCCAGACAAAAATACATTATCTCTCCCAAATCAAGTTTCCTCTAAATAGTATTTTAATTGTCTTCTTGACTAGGAATTGAGTATACCAGCAAATTAAAAATTTTAATACTACAAATGTTATAACTCAGGAGACAATAATAATAATTATATTATAGGACTAGTACCATATAGAAATAAAAATTGAGTATAAAAAACATTTCGTGTGATTCAATCCTGAAATATATAAGTTTTAAATTTAGATTTAAATTCTTCTACTACCATAAAATGTAAAAATACAAATATCTTGTTTTGGGGTCACTCGGGGAGCGACTTCCATGTGAAGAGAAACATCGAAATGGCACGACGTGTCGTTATGTTAGTGGACCAGGTTGAAGGGACACGTGCATGACGCTGCCCCTTTCATGCATGAGATGTCGGGGGACAGGAACCATGTGCCTGGGTCCCACATTGGGGGAGTGGGGGGGAGAAATTGTCAGAATGCACGTGCATCCACATGACCGATATTTAATCCCGTTCCTCCAGCGAGACACGTGGCTTTGTGTCTCCGTATTATTGGCTCACGAAATCAACGTTGATAGCGATGAGGAAGGGGAGAGCATTGTACGGTTGAGGTCCCCACATCATCGACGGGAGTTGCGGAGGCAGTGAGTGACGGCTCAGATCTACGGTGCATGACATTCTTACCATATTCTCGACTTACGTTGTCTACACCTTGTCTGCTAGTGGTAATTTTTTTTCTTTTTTGTTTTTTTTAAAGTGCCGTAGTGCCACGTGCCTGCATCCTGTCACGCTCAAGGAGTAGAACCAAACTCAGGTACATGGATGATGGATGATTGTTTATTTTTTTTAAGTATTTTATTTATCGTTTCTTAAACTTTTTTATAAAGTATTTATTTAAAATTTTATCTTTTAATTAATATTTTTAAAAATTAATTATTAAATTAAATTTTTTATATAAATTATATATGTCAATTTTTAATTATTACAATAAATTTAACTATTACGTTAATTATAGAAAATTATATGTTGTTAAATATATTTCAGTAAATAAAATTTTTTATCAAAGAATTATAAGTATTAAATTAATATAAAAATTGATATATATTTTATATGAATAAAATTTTTAATTTAAATTAATTTTTAAAAATATTAATTAAAAAATAAATTCTTAAACATATTTTCTTAAAAAAACTTTAAAATGACAACTTACTAATACCCTGTATTATCTTGTTTTTTTTTTTCTACTTCCAGAAAATTAGATGAGTGTATATTCTAAGATGTGGAATGACAACACCACAATTGCATTATTAAATTGTACTGTGCTGACACAAGTTGAATAAACTTTAATTTAATTTTTTTTAAACAATTTGTAATTATTTACAATGTTAATTGGAGGAAAGGAGAAAGGATTTCCGTGGAGTTCGAACATGCAACACACGAAGGTGAACAGTCCTAACTCAAGATCTAATGCTACTGGACCAGAGCGGACCGTTCAACTTTAATTTAATTTTGCACCATCATAAAAAGGAAGTAATCATGGTATATTTGTAGCTGAATTGGGATTTTAAACTACTTGGAAGTGGGTTTTTATTTATTTATTTATTTTTATTTTTAATATAGGGGAAATTGGAGAAGGAGAAATGACAGTACAAGAAGTAGAACTATAGTCATGGACATAGATGAGTGCATCTCTACCAATATTGCCATAGCTGCAGATGTAAGCTTCATAATAGTTGTTGTAAAGTATAATGAATCCCACACCATCTTCGTACCAAAACTTACTGAATCTTGCCATCAAATTTGAAGTTTCTATCTTCAATTGATGAATTTTCATTGATAATAAAAGGACATGCATATATGTACAAGATTCTATGAATTACCAATATATTTTCACCTAGACTAGGACAGTGGTTGGGAAATTTCCAACTTCTCATGAGGACATCTCTGACATGAAAAAAATAAAAATAAAAATAAAAAGGAAATTGCCACAAAGTTGTATTAATTACCTCATCAACTTGTAGTTTTCACACATTAGCAACTTTGTGTGGTATAATAAAAGAAAATTTTAAAAATAAAATTCTTATTCCTTTAAATTTCTTTTTTTTCCCCTTAAAATTGTGTAGTAAACAATTTCATTAAAGATACATATAACAAGAATAAACTTTTAATTAAAAAGAAAATTTTATTTATAGATAAATTTTACATATCACATTTATATAAAATTTTAATTATTTATTTTTTCATTTTTAATAGTTAAAATTTATTTATATTTATTAAAAATAATTATTTTTATCTTAAAAATATGATTAATTTCAATTATTAAAATTTTATATAATTATTATATATAAAATTTATGTATAAATAAATATAACTTGGACTTAAAATCAAGCATTTAATATTATCTAAAAAATGAGACACCTCAATTTATAGGTCCTGTAAATGCGACAACTAACGAGAGATGGAGGTCGTACTCTATGGCATATACCGCAACCGAAGACGGTTGGGGAGAATGAATTACAGTTAGTGGGGACGACAGGAAGCTAGGATTCTGGTGTCGGTTTCGCTATATTTTCACCCTCATTCCGGAGCCAACTTTATCGTCTAATTTATGAAAAAGAATCAGAGTGTACCCATTGCAGCTGAAGTATTTACTTTTATCCCAACGGCGCACTCAAAATCTACCTTAATTCCATACCAAGACAATACAAAAGAAATTTAGGACATGCATCGTGCAGATCTATTGTGGGGCTCCATGAACATGAATTTTAGACGGTACCCTAAGTAAACTTCGGCCTCAATTTCACTTGTTTGGCTTTTGTGCCCTATTAACTAGGAAAGCATCCTTCCCCTATGGGGGTATTCAAAGTCGTATAGATATATAATTCATTATTGAATAGAGAATTTTTCTCAATATTAAGAAGCTTCTTTTTAATATAATAATTAATATTTTATAGTTCAAACTATAAAATATATTTTTTTACATGTAATAAGTTATATATTAAGAGACAACAATCTCTCATCTTTTATTTCACCATACCCATATATCATGCGACTTGAACTCAGGATGATTTCTTTTTAACGAAATGAGATAACCACTGAATTATTTAGGTTAATAGTAAGTTAATGATAATTTAACATTTTAAAAATTATGAAACATTCTAGTTTTGTTATAACTTTTGTCACGTTAGAAGTATAATTGTAATGTTCTTAGTTTAAATCCTTATTTACCTTGCTGGTCTGAACGGAGTGATTGCATCCACACAGTAATCATATAATGTGAAGAGAAGGGTAGATGAAAGGTAGATAGGGGTAGCAAGGAGCAATAGGCCACATTGAGGTGGGCAGATTGTCTCTTTTGCCGCCTCAGTTCCCATTATTTCTCTTTAGTTGAGGTCCTTGAGGAAAAGGGGGGAAATGGAAAAGGAAGAAGAAATCCCATATCCCTACATCTTTTCAACTTAAAAAAATATCAAAGTGGAATCTTTGGACCTAAAACAGTGCATGCGTACAGATATATAATGGAAGTTTGAAGTAATTATCTGGTGAGGTCATGGAAGATGATCTCCCTGACTCCATGCATGGTGTGTGGAGGGTGACTGGGTGGGGCACTGGGCAGTCCATTACTCCATTTTGATGCTTATTATATTTGGGCTATATCTTGAGTGTGTGTTGTAGTAGTAACAATAACAACTTTTTTTTACTAAACTCTCTTATTATAGAAATAATATTAAATTTTAACTAATTTAAAAATAAACTGGATTGGGTTACATAAAAAAAAATTTAGTGTTTATTTTTTCATTTACAGAATTCAAATTTAAGATTTTATTTAAGTAGAATTGAACTCATTCTACTCAAATTAACTCAAATCAACGGATGATAAGTGCAACAATTACAAAATGAACAAAGCATAAGCTGTCTTTTTAAGTTTGATCAAGGTACAATCGAATCATTAGCTGTTAATGATAAATCAAGTCATCTCATTTTAATTTCCTTTCCACAGGTAAAAGATGTGATGGAAGTCAATTTCATGCACTAAAAAGAAACTAATCATAAGTTAGATTGTTAGAATTGGCCTTTGACAATTCAAAGAAGACAGGGAATGGTGAAATGCTGCCATGCAAGTTGATTCAAAGTCAGAACTCAAATCTTTGTCTCTTACATGGTTAACAAAAAATTAGAATTACTTTGAGGTTGAAATTGATGGAGTCCAATTAAGGGCAAACCAATGCCTTATCGGCTTTACATAAATAAGATATTAGTATCAAATTTCAAAATATTGTGGCACGTCTCTAATTATATTGCAGGATAATTTTTTTATAAAAAGGTTATAGTGGTGTCATGTCAGGAAACACC